ATGGCAGCACACCACTGTTTCCTATCCTTATAAGTGGTATTTCGAACACATGCACAACACACTCGCTCCACTAACCAAGTGAATTTTGGGATAGTATTCTACGAGTAATTTTTTCGAACCAATGAAATAGATAGGCGAAAGTTTAAAAAAATAAAATATTGTTTTTTATTTTTTAAAATTATGATATGCTCTTTGTACCATATTTTTTGTAGACTTTTGAGACGGTATTATCTATAACAAGCAATTTTTACGAACCAATAGAATGGGTAGAAGGTACTTTAATAAACAAAATACTTTTTTTGTCATAGTTTTTTGGTACCATCGCCATATTTTTGTTTAGAATCTTGGAATTGAATCCTACAACAAGTAATTTTCCGGAATCAATTAAATAAATAGATGCAGGTAGGGCGGCAGTGTGGTCTAGTGGTAGAGCGCCAGACTCGTAATCTGAGGAACCAGGTTCGAGTCCACTAGAGCCATAAAGCATGGAATGTTTTTCCGACAGCTGCGCCCCCTCCGTGCAAGATAGGCTCTTGTGCGGAGAAAACTGGGCTCCGTCTTTCGGAAAGAGACGTTAAGCCGTTGGTCTAAAAGGTTAAAGTGAGAGGAGAAGGATAGTGTTGGTAGTAGATTGGGAACCCTGCGGAAATATGCAATAAATGACGAATTTTTAATAAATAGATGCAGGTACTAAAAAAAGTAATAAAGTAAATTGAAATAATTATAAAGAGATAAGCTATAATCGTATTAAATCAAATGTTTATTAATGGAGGACACATACACATACACTCAAAATAATGAAGTACACATCCACATTCGTTCACATAATCACTCTCATACTACTATTATTTATTTACACTATTTATAGTTATATTTACAGATGCACTAATCTTCATCACTATCTTCATTGATAATAGGCGTGATGCCGTCTGTTTTAAATATATTTAAATATTTTTTTATACATATATTTAAAACAGATGGCATCACGCCTATTATCAATAAAAATTATATAACTATACTTTTGATGGTTTACCTGTCTCAGCAGTGCGCAAAGCTCGAGATCTCGGGGTCTTATTCAGTGCGGACTTAGCATTTAATACACATATACAATCAATAGTTTTATCTGCTTATAGAACGCTTGGATTCATCCTCCGATGGGGTAGATTTTTTAAGAATATAACCACTTTAAAATTATTATACTGTACGTTAGTTCGCCCTAAGTTGGAGTACTGTTCCATAGTTTGGTCTCCGTATTTTAAATGTTATCAGTTATTGATTGAACGTGTGCAGCACAAATTCCTGCGTATGGCTGCTTATCGGCTAGGTAATCCCACGTCAATTACTTGCCATGACTACTGCACTATATTAGATAAATTAAATCTGCTATCGTTAGAAAGTAGGAGACTAACCTTTGACCTTACATTTATTTTTAAGCTTCTCAATCACTCTACCGATTGTCCGGATTTGTTGGAACGTATCTATTTTAACATCCCGACTAGAGAATTAAGACAGTACTCCATCTTCCACATCGGGTATCACCGTACTTTGTATAGCGCAAATTCTTGTGTAAATAGGCTAATAATATCTGCAAGTAATTTCTCCAATAGGGTTGACTTTTTTGGTGGCTCTGTATCAACTTTTAAACAAAAACTTTCTCGCCTACTCTTGTAACTTGAATGTTCTCCATATTATGTTGTAAAATTTTAATTTTATTTTATTGTTCTTGTTTTTCTTTCCTCTTTGTACGCTAAAGGGTTTATTACCCGTTAATAAAGTTTATTATTATTATTATTAAAAATATAGTAATTAAGATTAGTCCATCCATATAAAAATATAACTGTAAATAATAGGTAGTATATAGGAGTAATTGTGAACGAATGTATATGTATTCTTCATTATTTTGAGTGTAGTGTACGTGTATGTGTATGTGTACTTCATTAATAAACATTTGATTTAATACGATTATTATAGTTTATTCTTTTATAATTATTTCAATTATTTCACTTTATTTTATTATTTTTTTAGTACCTGCACCTATTTATTTAATCGATTCCGGAAAATTACTTGTAGAATTCCATTCCAAAATTCTAAACAAAAATATGGCAATGGTACCAAAAAACTATAACTTTGAAAAAAAAATATTTTGTTTTTTAAAGTACCTTATTCTACCCATTTTATTGGTTCAAAAAAATTGCTTGTTGTAAAATTTTGTCCCAAAAGTCTACAAAAAATATGGCAATGGTACAAAAAGCATATCACAATTTAAAAAAATAAAAAACAATATTTTATTTTTTTAAACTTCCGCCTACCTATTTTATTGATTCAAAAAAATTACTTGTAGAATACTATCCCAAAATTTTACATAAAATATATGGCAATCGTAAAAAGCATATCATATTTTTAAAAAATAAAAAAGAATACTTTATTTTTTTAAAGTACCGCTTAACCATTTTATTGTTTTTAAAAAATTATGTCTGACAGGAAACTACTCCAAGATTCTACAAAAATTTTTTAGTAATTGTGACACTGATAGCAATCAAAGCAAAAAAAAATGAGCATGATCCGTGTGGGAGCCCATTGATCCTTTTTATCCGGCTACGGCCTTTATTTGTATTGAGGAGTAAAGAATGTAATCTCTTGATCTGTCAGGAAAAAAATGAAAAAAATTGTTAAGGAGATATTCTGGTTTGAAAAGTCATAAAGAAAGATATTTTTCAGGAATTTTTTGCAGGAAACGAAAAGAGCGAATAACGCTAAATTGTACATGTTTATTTAGTCTTATTTTGAAAATATATTTTTAGTTTTAAGTAATAAAAATGCTCTTTTTTCCATGTTATATCCTGTTTGTTAGAAGTTGTAAATGACAGACAGTGTAAATGAATCTAGCTGTTCTAGGTATCTGAAACGCAAAAACCAAAATTTTTTTATTCAGGAAAAGTGTGGCTATTGACTGAACTAGAACTAAACGAATATTTCCATTCTGGTGGCCTTTTTATTAAAAATATTATAATTTTTTTCAAAATTTTGGAAGTATTTTATTAAAAGAAAAAAAAACTAATAAACGTATAATGTTTATTCTAGTTCAGACGATAGTTACATTTCTTCTGAATAAGAAAATTTTTTGTTTTTGCGTTTCTGATACCTATAGAACAGTTAGAATCACTTACATCGTCTGTCATTTTTACCTTATTCTAGTGACCAGGATATAACATAAAAAAAAGAGCATTTTTGTTACTTAAAAAATCAATATATTCTCAAAATAAAGTTAAAAGAATATGAAAAGTTTAACGTTATTCACTTTCTTCGTTTTCCTACAAAAAGTTTATGAAAAATACCTATTTTCACGACCTTTCAAATCAGAATACTCCCTTAATTTATTATTTGTTATTAATATATTGTGGGAATTACATATAAGTAATTAAAAAGCATATAGTACAAAATAGTTTCAATATTCAAATTATTGTAATAATAAAGAAATCAATTATTTACAATATATTTACATTTTTTTCTGTGTCTGTATCGTATGTATTATTGCAGACAAGTTTCTCTGCACGTTTACATTTCTTTTGCATATTTTTTACAAGCTTATCCTTCACAAGTGTGATATGTCAAATATAGACAAGATTTTTGCACGCTTATCTGTTATAAGCGTAATGTCAAATGCAAGATTTTCATAATCAAACGTTCAACATTTTCGACATTTTTCTACAAACGAGGGACCAACAATATCATCCGCAGCATGTAGCCTCATAGGCCAGTCAATTTACGGTTTTAATCGAATTTGAATTCGGAAGTTTAATTTATGTGCCATTTGATATAGTAAATGGCACTGATATAAACATATCAATTTTTTACTTTGTAAAAAAAAATAATTATTATAAAAACTTGGCCCCTTTCGACCTTTTACTCGAAACGCTGCGAAACCCGTCTGAAATACATCAAAATTGGACACAGACAATTTTGTAGAGAATTAAATTTATCTGTAAAAAGATCCGGGAGGAGGGTATTTTTCTTGTAAAATTAATAGCTTAGGCATGAGTGGCGCCCGAAGTCGGGCGATCGGAAAGTGACGTCTCGACGTATTCGCCAGTTGCTCTGGTTAGTTGTAAAATTCAATATCAATACTTTAACATTGAATGAAAAATCTCCAAAAATTCAAGGCTTAACTAGATAAAATAGGAAAGCTATTTCTGGGTTCAAACATTTTTTTATCGATAAATTCGAATTATGACAGCTATATGACAAAAATTTCTTTTTCGTTTGATATTGTAACTTTGATCGGCCATATCTCGGAAAGTATTAACCGGAGTTCTATTCTTACTTTATGAGAAAGCCAAATGGTAAAACTGCAGATTAAGGGCGACCTCACCGATTTCAATGACCTTGATGTATGTTGTCAAGGTCATGACCCCGAGTGACCTTCAGAAGGTTTTAGCCGTCGCTCGCTATTCGTTAAAAAGTTATTAACAAAAAAAGTTTGGAAAATATAGCAGCTATTTTGAGTATTGGAAGGCATAAATGATTAATATATATGTGGGATCGCGAGCGACGCAGCGGCGCCCTCGCTTGGCTGAGTAGAGAATGAGGAGAGTCTCCCGAGAGAAGCCATACGGGCAAGACGTTTGTGCGCTTTGTTTAATAAAAGTTCTTTTCGCTTATTCCTATAAACCTTATGTTTCTTTCCGTTACGATCCTACAATTGGGGGCTCGTCCGGGATAACCGTGGATATCGGGATCACGGTAAGATCGCGAGTGAAGACGGACGCGGGAAAAGCAACGAAGCGAGAAAGTTCTAGAAGTTCGCGAGAGGCAAAGGCGGGTGCCTACGCGAAACGTGTCCGTGCGCGTCGAAGAGGCGATTCGGTCCGGCGGATACGAGACAGTTCACGACGTAATTTGCGAGTGCGGTAACCGTAGTGAGGACGTCGGATAAGGCGATCCGACGACGAAGTTGTTGTGCGGCGACGAAGACGAAATCGCGTACAGCGAGACGTGGCAAGATGGCCTCCTCGGCGGGAAACGCGGGAAAAGGCGATACGGCGACAAACGAAACGACGAAGAAGACGGAACAGCATGCTCTATCATCGACGAATAGCAAAATAGGCTTGCGTGAAAAGCATAAGGCAACGGACGACACGAACAGCGAAATGCATAATCTGAGAAATGACGATGTGCTGGTGGCGGACAGCGCAGTTAGTATTGACGCTATGACGAAGAATCAACTAGTAGAGCGATTACGTCAATTAAAATTGCCTGTGACGGAGCTAAAGGCGACGCTGCGTGAGAGACTGCGGGCAGCTACACAAGAAGATGTTAGCGACGAAGATGTTAGTGACGAAGATGTTAGTGACGAAGAAGTTAGCGAGGACACGGTGTTACATTGTGATGAAGACGAGGGGGAAACCCCTGCGGTCGGTCATAGCGGTGGGCGCCATGATCGAGGATCGTTATCGACCGCGCGACGAGACGCGACACCGCCCTCTCGTTATAACCGTATGCATTACGAGGAACGCGAACCTAACCCTCACGGCGTGAGAACAGGACAGCTCGTGTTGACATACAAAGACGTTGAAGACGCACTGACACTTTTCAGTGGCGACGGCACACAAAACGTAGGAAGATGGTTTACGTCATTTGAAGAGACTGCCGATTTGTGCCGGTGGACCGACGTGCAGAAGATTATTTACGCGAAGAGACTATTACGCGGTTCGGCTAAGCTTTTCGTAAATTTCGAGTGTCAAGTACAATCATACGGCGCGCTCAAGAAAGCGTTGATTAAAGAATTCGGTAAGACAATGAACAGTCGTCAAGTGCATAAAGAAGTGAGTGCAGTGTCGAAAAAGTTGGACGAGACATATCAAGCGTATGTCTATCGCGTACTGGAACTTGCCAGTCACACGGAGATGGAAATTGAGGCTAAAATACAGTACATTATCGACGGTGTTAAAGACGAAGAGATAAATAAATCTATATTATACGGTGCTACGACGATTAAGGAGTTACGTCAGAGATTTGCGCAATACGAAATACAGAAAAGTAATCGAAGTAAGGCGCGACAACATTCGCAAGCGCAAAGTAAGAAGAAGCCGGCGAGTAACGCGGGTCAGACCACGACAGCCACTGCTGGCAAACGATGTTTCAACTGTGGCGACACGAAGCATCTAGGTAAGGAGTGTCCTAATAAGGCGAAAGGATCTAAATGTTATTCATGCGGTGAATTCGGGCATATTGCTGCAAAGTGTCCAAAAGGAGCAGACTCGGCGAATAAAGATACTACTCCAGTAAGAGTGGATGCGCTCCGATCTCACAGTGATAAGAAGACGTATAAGAAAGTGAATATTCTGGGGAAGGATGTCACAGCGTAATCGATCCTGGAAGTGATCTGCATCTCATTCGATCCAGTGTTTACGTGCATCTCGGTGCTCCTCCAATCAGGCACGAGATTACGAAGTTCAACGGGGTAGGCGCATTTAACCGGAGTACATTAGGAAGATTTACGGCGGACGTGTCCATTGATGGAATACTGTTCACTCTGGATATCAATATAGTGCCAGACGATTATACCGGACATGATTTAATCATAGGCGGTGAGTTATCGGATTTAACTGAGATCCGTATAAGAAAACGACAAGCTGTCATAAGGAAGCTCAATGACGACGAATCGAAGACGACGACCGAAGATGCTAACTGGGCGGAAGTATTATGTATTGGCGTACAGGATAACGAAGAAAAAGAAGCGAAAGCTCAAGTTACGCTTAATCACGTGGAAAATTCGAATATTCGAGAGTGTGTACGAAAACTAGTAGAGGACTATCAACCGAGGAAGATAAAGGACAGCGGCGTGAAGATGCGTTTGATACTCAAGGACGAAATACCGGTACATCAGAATCCTCGTAGATTGTCGGCGGAACAACGGAATGCGGTACGCAAGATCATTGACGAGTGGATCGAGAAAGGGATTATACGACCGAGCAACTCGGAATACGCCAGCCCGATCGTCCTGGTGAAAAAGAAAGACGGAACATGGAGGTTATGTGTCGACTACCGAGGAATAAACCGTAAGATAGTAAGGGTAAGGCAGCCTTTTCCGCTGATCGAAAATCAACTAGATGAACTGACAGACGACGAAGTATATTGTGTGTTAGACTTGAAGGATGGTTTCTTTCATGTACCACTGGATGAAGATAGTATTCGTCATACTGCTTTTGTGACGCCAGACGGGCAGTACGAATTTTTGATGGCACCCTTCGGACTATGCAATTCTCCGGCGGCATTTCAGCAGCTCATGCGAGCAATATTCAAGATGGTGAAGACATATTTAGACGACGTCATCATTTCGGCGAAAAATGAAAAAGAGTGCTTAGCTAAGTTGGAACAGGTTCTAAACGTAGCTCGTGACTACGGTTTGAGAATAAACAGGAAAAAGTGTAAACTATTGGTACGACGTGTGGAGTATTTGGGACATATAGTGGAGGCAGGAACAGTAAGGCCATCCGAGAAGAAGATA